GTTCGGATTTTGAGCTGGAGGCTTCTATGAAAATGCGGCTGGTTTAGACAATAACAGTTAATGATCGAATTAATTCAGATATCGAATAATTAGTATTCACGTTAACTGTTACCATTTTCATGCGAACGCTTTTTGGACTATCAAATAATCGAATAGTTTGGTCGAATATTTTACTAATAAGCAGACGATTGGTTCTCTATCCAACTTGATTTAGCTGAGTTCAAGTCTTCAGCTAGGGTAGTCAGTGATATACGAACTGAATAAAGTATACGTAAATACAAAGACCATAAAATAAACAACATAACTTATTACATGACAAGCGTCTGTAACCACATGTGTTTGGATTGTTGATATCTCATTTAGTATCTCGTTATATTGTTATTTTAATGCAACGTGCTTAAGTGTTAGTGACGATTTTAGAAATGTGCCATTTTCTGGAACAACGATGCAAGGTAAAATTTTGGGTGAAACTGGTGAAAATTTTGATGGAAACGTTTCAACTTTTGAAACAACGGAGATGATTATGCAACCAATTACGATTGGTTTTTATGATTTAAAAGTGATCGCCGCCAGCCAATTGAAGATGGGGTGAAGACGGGAAAGCGGGGTTTACGGCTACGACATTGATTACGTGAAAAAAACCGCAAAAAGAAACCAAAGTTGTGGCGAGACAACTCATGGTTCTTGCACCATGAGCCAACACACTCAGCTTTGTCAGTTCTTTAGTTTTGTACCAAAAATCAGATTACTGTCCCCCCGCCCACTTTACTGATCAGACCTGGCCCCTTGCGATTTTTTCTTACTTCCGAAATTAAAATCAGTGCTGAAGGGATGACGTTTTCAGACTATTGATGACACCAAAGCAAATTCGTCACAGACTTTAAAGGTCATTTCAAATGAAGCTATCGGGGACTACTTCGCGAAAAGGAAACACCGCTGGGATAAGTGTGTGAATAGGGGAGGAGGCATGGACTAATAATGTGTAAAAACAATAATAAAGTTCGATTATTTTCTGAATAGACCTCGTATGTTCTCCAGACTTGAACTAGTAGAATTGTTTAATTATATGGTAATATAAGTATTCGTCGTTTATAATAATGCCGCGGATTTAATGTTATTTCACCTAACCTAATATAATCGTTTCTTTTAATTTCATACCGTATGCATGATAACAATTAATTCAATATAATTTTTGGGGTTATGGAAATTGTAAGTAATTTATCACACCGTAGAAATTTATACAGGATTGACATCGGACAATGCTGTTACCTAAAAACTAATTAGGTACATTTAGTGATTATCTTTGCTAAAGCTTCTAAGTAGCACCTAAATGTTGAAATATAATTTTTATAATAATCACTCTAGATTACAAGTATTGTCTAAATATTGTCAAATTGTTATATTTAATACTCGAGTGGTATTAACGAACTGGACCACATGAATGTTATTAAAATTCTAATTGTCTTATATCGACCAAAATCTCATATAATCTAGTTTAAAGCCAATAATTGTTTAATATGTTATACAGTTTCTTTAATCAAAATATAATTAATTTTAATGATTGTTTGGATTTGATATATGTGACCGTCTCTAGATTGATATGTTCATGAAAAACAACATTATATGGGAGTATGTATTTGATTATTGAAGGAAAAACATTTATTAAAATGAATCCACATTACATTTTTCATAGATAACAACTTTAATATATTTTAATACGCTCAATATAGATCCTTTGAAAAACAATATGTCGGAGGTCGAATTAATAATAACATCTAATAAATAAAGCAAAATATATGCAAAAGTAATACCTAATTTAGATAATTGTTGATATAGCTCAATTATGTTTGAGAAAGAGGAATTATTATTTGCCTTACTAAAATATCATAAGTTAAGTACTATATTTACAATGTTGATGATGAGGATCAAAACTTTCTTTTGAAGAATTTATAAAAAAATTTGTTATATAATTCTTATAGAATTAATCAACTTGAGCTTTAAGTTCATTAATTATGATACACTTGTTCCAAAACTGATTTAATAACAAATTATTAAGCTGGGTAGATTCTTGTCCGATGTTTCGAACTTGATCGTAACTTTTGTTTCTTAACAACTTTTCCTGGTATTTTGCCGTACCAGGCATTTTATTTTAGATACAATGTACGAACTAAACTGTAACATATACAGAGAAACAAATTTTCCACTCTATTTATTGTAATAGAATTTTCTATAAAATACAGAAATATTTATTTAATATATAGAGAAAGAAACTATGTAGTTGTGAGGTTTAGCTTGCATTGAAAAATGTGGAAGTTATGAAAATAATAGATATACATTAGAAATTAAATATGAAAATTTTTTTCTCATACACTTTATTGGATGTAGTATTTATATGTATTATATTTTTTAATGATCCTTTATTATAGTCATTTTTGTCTTTATTAATATCTGAATCTTTGTTACAATACCAAAGAGAGAATGATTGAAGATTTTGACTATTTTAAGTACCTATATTTTAAAAAGTTCCGTGACGTTTTAAAGAATTATTTTGCAATTGTGACACCAAAACTTTTTTTGTTTTTCAGTTAGGCATAGCATTTATTTTTAGTTTTATTAGCATATAGTAGTTTTTCAAATTTATCTGATTTGTCCACAAAATTACTTGTTTAAATCACAAAAATTTCTAAAAAGAAGATGGTTCGTTTCAGAATAGAGATAACTTACATCAATAACACAATTTTGTATATAACTTACCTTATATTTTTGTACTAATAGCACAAATATAATAATTATACAGGGTGATTCAGAACTTCCAAAAATATCCAAAAAAAAATCTGGATGTACAGGGGACCCTTACAAATACAATTTTGTAAAGAAAAAATCAAAAAGGGCAGTTCGAAAATGATTTAAAAATACACTTCTGTACGGCACTGGAAACTGGTCCACTGTAAAACCTGACCTCACACAATGCGACCGGCATAGCGGTGTGATAAAAACGGACAAAAACTTTCGCAAGGAAAGAAATACCTATGTAAATAGAATTTTATCGCACCTATTTTATATTGGCAAATTCAACTGCTTTTGCTTTTATTAATTAATAAAATTAATTTGTGTTTTTAAATAATAAAATCATTTGACATACCCGATGTTACAACAATAATTGTTCAAAATTTTATCCACTAACGTGTAAACACATTTGGGTCCGTCTTACTCAGTTTCTACGAACTAACACAAATGTTGTCTTGCTTCACCATAAATGTTTCACCATAAATTAAAACGATATCCTTGAACTTCGAGTTGCTATACATGCAAACCATTTTTGACACTAACTACCCATTTTTGACACTAACTACTAAAAGAACTATTGAACAGATAACAGGTAAATACTATTGCAACGACGATTGCAAAATCCGATTTCAGTATTCGGAGTCTCTGAGGCCACGTGGCTCTCTACGCGCATTGCGAATGATGCTAGAGACTACAGTTGTCCAGCTATGTAGTCGTTGAATGTACTATAACTTCAATAATATTTTCTCGGAAACTAAGGAGTTTACAAAATTTTTTTTTTACGATATTGACTCCATTTCTCATGCCGCATCTATTCCCAAATTTTTTTGGATAAGTTCTGAATCACTGTATAAAACGTATATAAGATTTTCTATTAATTTCAATGCAAATATTAGGTATTTTTTCCTAAAATAATACATTTTATCCATTGAAGCGGCGGCGGTGGTTGGAGTAGATAAAATTCTGAACGAAAATCTATTCCTACGAAATCGTATGATCGTACGAAATGAACTGATGAAAACAAACTATTCTGATGTCGTAACTTTTTTGAGAAAATTAAAAACATAAAACTTACTTATTGCTATCACAGTTATGTAAGAAAAAATCCAGTACGACTGCCATTAGAAAAAAAGGATAGTATAAATGACTAAAAAACAAAAGATAATCTGGAATAGTGATTGAAATTAATATCTATCGTGCTAGCAAAATAAAAATGACAATTTGAATTTGCAGCAAAATTCTATCTCTTCTAATAATTGCGACACCTATGCATAAAATTTGGGACACACTGTATATAGTAGTAAAAATTAAATTATATCGAAGGTCTGTTTAATTCGTTAATTCTTAATTGTATTACAAAAATCATTAATGGAAGAGTATTGTCTAAAAGTTTCGTTATTTTGGTTCTAGTTCTCTATTAAGGCAGTTTTGTTTTGACATAGGTGAGTTAGTACAAAATATATCTCTGAAATGTATCTAGTAGATTGCGCAGGGAATAATGAAATAGAAAAGAAGACTACAGAAAAATAGTTAATACTGCTAAGGAGAAACAATTAATATTTTTATTTCACGCGATATGTTTTTTATATTATATATGCCACACCTCTCATTTCTTAAAATGAAAGTTTATGGATATGTGTTATTGATAAAGGTTTACCTTTGCAGTAACGATAATCTAAATTATTTTAAATTAGTTTCTTTACAGTTTATTTTGATTTAAACTTTATAGGTGCCTTTATAGATATGTCGATAATGAATATATATTAATTATTGTAACCATCGACACAATTTTAAAATAATGTTATTTTCCTAGTTCTGTTTTTTCATTAGGATCTGTAAATTAAACAAGTATATATTTCAAATTATGATACCTATAACCCAAATAATGTTGTTTTCATTATCTCCCTTTCTTAAAAAATATTTCACATTAAATATGGATACAGCCAAATACCAATAATAAACGTTGTTAATTACATATGTAGTAATAATATGTTTTTATTTATTAAATTAAATAGGCCGTTATTTTAGCAAAAAAAAAATATCTGGACCGAAAGGTAAGGTATCACAAGTGAAAGGGCTTAGTATACAATAACATAAATAAGTTTCCATCGATTCAAGCAGAATTTCGTCAAACAAAGTCACACAAACAATCGCTAGCAATATCTCTCTACAACACTAATTGATATTTTGTGGGTTTGTTTTGTGGCGTTTGATCACCTGGCTGCATCAATCTCGGTCAAATCGCGACCTTTTGTTTCTGGCACACAGCAAACAATAAAACAGAGCCCGCCTACTGAAATATATGCGTATAACCAGAAAGCCCCGTGTAAGCCCAGCAACTCTTTAAAATCTACAAATGTTTTGACTCCAACGAAAGCACACAAATAGCTAAAACAAGTGGCTAATGCCGTACCCAAACCGCGATGTTCTAGGGAAAATAGTTCGCTGACAAGTAACCAAGAAATAGGGCTTATTCCAAGAGAGAAAGCTACAGTGAACACTAAAACACACAGAAGTGGAATCCAATCTAAATTTGGAATCATTTTAGGATTCGCAGCTTCGTAATATGCAAAGGATCCGAAGGATGCTAAAGCCAGCGTCATAAGTACACTGGAAGCCACTAATAGAGGTAACCTTCCGGCAGAATCTACTAGTAATCCAGATAGCAAAGACGACAAAAGCTGCACTACGGCTACAGCCACTGCTGCACTGTGTGGATTAGTTCCGCCGAAAGTTTCTTTAAAGACACTTACCATGTAAAAGTTAAAGGCATTAGCTCCGGAAAATCGTTGAAAGAACATTAACCCGCAGGCAATCAGTGCCGGAGTTCGTAAGGTTTCAATTAGCAGTTTTGGATTTGTCGGAACGGGTCGAGTAATTACGTGAGCTTGAAGAACAGCCAGCTCCAGCTGTAAATCGGCTGTGTCTCCTCGAAGCCAGCGAAGTGCTTTTTCGGCTTCAACATCTTGTCCCCTGAGCACTAACCAGCCGGGGCTTTCTGGTACTCTCCACAAAACTATGCACATTGTCACTGGTGCCAAGGCTATAAGACCCGCTAGTTGCCGCCAGTCTAAAAAGGCTCCAGCGGCGAAAGCTACGAGTACGCCCGTGTGGGCCGCTACTTTTAATAGTGCACTTAGGCCGCCTCGTATGGAGGGAGCTGCAATTTCACTTACATAAACTTGAGCAGAGAGTTGGACAATTGCCACTAAAAAGCCGCTAAAGAAAGCGGCGAAACACATTACTTCAACACTTACTGCAAACACGGTTATGATCCAGCAGATGGATAATGGTGCCCCAGCAAGAACTAGGGTTCGACGTCGTCCCCATCGCAGTGCTATACCTCCAACTGGAGCACCAAATAATGCTCCAAGTAAAGAGAGGGATGCAAGCCATGACGCTTGTTGACCACTCACAGGAAAGGCATCGGCGTCACGTTGCTGTAGTGATGCTATGGCAGGAGAACTATATCCTTTTCCCAAACCGGATGCAAGGGGACCCAGGCTCACCGCCAGAGAAGCTAGGACTTGCCCCATATATTCTGGCTTGCCGGTCACAAAAAGTTGTCTTCCAGGTCCCGCCACCTACGACGTAAATGTTAAGATACACGTGAATTTCTTACCGTACGAGACGATTCTCTGCTTACCGTGTGAGTATATAAGTTACGGGTCATATCTGTACTGCACGTGAACAGCGCTACATTGCGCGGCGACTGTCTTATTCTTCTATCTCATCCCAGTCCAGGGTGTTGTTCACGTCTGCAGTGTGCAGCCCAGGTGGTGGATACGACAGGATTGTGCCATGCCCGCGATTAACTCGATTCCCACAGTACTGCGAACGGGGGTTCAAAGGAAGCTGTCGTGCGCACAGTTTAGTTGGGGGTAGAGCGGGGAGCATCTACAATATCGACCCACTATTCCCGATGCGGTCCAGACCGCGCCAACAAATTCATTATTGTGTTGCTTTTGCGTATCAACTATACCAAATTTATTTTCAGTCACGTCTTTTGTTATCTATATATATGTAGTAGACGATAGGGAATGCCGTCAGAATTTCTAATTTCAGTAAAAACACGACTGTTGCCGATTATTTTTTACTGGCAATCCCTTATCTGCAACGACCAAAGTTTGCTGCGCTTACGAAAGTTCTGCTTTATCTGTGCCATCGAGTCAACTCATTTATTACTTTGGAAAAGTGTTTCTCAAAGTAAAAGTTTTTAATGTAGTCTGCAGATTGATTTGCATAAGTGATGTTCCAGGCAATTTTATTGAAAATGATGTAGCGTCTTTGTTATCGCAGTTACAGTTCATAATATCAATATTTTGCATTAAATATATTAATAGCATGAAAAACGTATAGGTAACTTTTGCTTCATTCATGAGAATTAATAATTATAGGCATAAATTGCCGAGTGATGCTAATCATTCGCTTGGTTTTATTAACTTTATCATTTAAATGGTGAAATCAATAAAAAGCCAATAGCCAATAAAGAATAAGCCAATAAGAAATTACTTTTGGATCAAAATGGACAGACTCTTTACTATGTACAGACAAAATTCTAAAAAGTTCAAATTGCATTAATATTTAAATACTGAATTGGTAGCAATACTATCAACTGATAAATTACAGCAGAAAACGAATAAAGATAATGCTGTTCAGTGATGCACTCACGTTTAGCAGTCTTTATTTAGCGTATTTTTTTTTATAATTTCTACTGTTTACGAGATATCAATAATTAAAAATCACTTTTTCAAAAATCTCAGTCTTCATATCATAGTGAATGGAGTTAGATAGGTTTTTCTTCAAAAGGAACATATCCAAAGTTATTTTGCAGAACGACAATTTATAGACACCATTCATGTTACTCAAATTTTGAACCGCTATAAACATTTTTGTAAATTGTCATAAATTGAAATCATCCTGCAAAGTAACTTCAGATATTAAAAAAGAAATTAGAAATAAATCACTGAGCAAATGGATGGATGGATGGATGGATGGATGGATGGATGGATGGATGGATGAATGGATGGATGGACGGATGGATGGAGGACGGGAGGGACGGACAGACAGACGGATACATGGGTGGACAGATGGATGGACGGATGGATGCATGCATGAAGGAATGAACGAATGTGAATTAATGAATAAGTTAACGAATGAATGAATGAATAGATGGATGGATGAATGAATCAATGAATGAATGAACGAATGATTGAATGAATGATTGAATAAATGATCGAATGAATGAATGAATGAATGGATGAATGAATGAAGGAAGGAAATAATGAATGAACGAATGAACGAACAATAAATAAAAATCATATATCGATTCTAATAAAATACAGTTGTTGCATTTTAGTTATTTTACGTCCAGTTTTTAGTTATCTTAATAGAGAATCCTGCACAGAATATATTTCATTATATAAAAAAATAAATAAGAAAAACAAATGAAATTATTTAGGACTTCTTAACCAAATAAAAAAACGATGTACTCAAATTTATGTATGTACAGGTATATCAATAATTCCATTAGGTATTTCAGAAATTTATTTTTATCTCGTTAATGTTGATTTTCGTTCAATCATTAATTAGTTATACCAAACTGAGTTTACGGAATTAGTGTTAAATTTGCAATTCGCTCTAAATACAGATACCTATCATTTAATCATATTTACAGCCCGTATAAAATCAATATGAGTACCAGATAGAGTGGGTAGAGTATAACCCAAATACCACAAAAGAGCAGTTTTGTCTTTGTTTCTCTGAAATCAGATATATTTTTGATTCATAATTTTTATATATTATACAAGGCCGATGGAAGTAAAATTTGATAGAGGTCAAAAGAATATGTTCGATGTGATGAAAGCAAATTGTATTGTTGCTTGATTGCTACTTCTTTATACCTTCAATGAATTTTTTGTTCGATGATTGTGTTGATGTCGGAAGATGGAAAAATTAGAAGAACAAAAAAATAAAGAAAGAAAAAAAATTGATGAGTTGGAAGTTGAAAGTTGGGTTTACCATAGAATCATTTTATCTAGTTCAGTATTGTGCTGTCAGATTTTCATTTTAACATTTAATCAACTATGAACTAACTGAATTTCAAAGGGATTGATATTTTTATGTAAGTCGTTACAACAGGAGTACATCCTTATATGGTTTTGATAAAAAATATAGGGGAAGGTGTTGACCATGTGGACATTTTTCATTTTGCCGGTTGTGTTACGGTGATTATCAATTTCAATTTAAAATAATGACTGCGTATTATTAGTGGCCTTCCTGTCATCAAAGTTTGCATATTGAAGTATAATTAGTAATTGTTTTTTTATTGAAAAAAAAATTAATTTTCGATGAATTTTGTCCACAGGTACCCCATGCAGGGGTACATGTGGACAAACATGGTCCGCATGTGGACAAGTATGAAAAATATGGCAAACTATAGTTTTAATAAATGCATTTTATTATCTACAAAACTTACATACCATTACTTCACGTAAAATAATTTGATTTTCAGAAAATAAATACTAATTTTTACATTAAAGTAGGTACTCGTACAAACATAAAACAATTTAGGCTACATAACACAAATTTGAACTAATAACAAAGTTAGTTTACACAAAGTGTAGTAGTGTGTTTCTACATGGCCTACATAATACTTAAGGATTTTTTTGGTTGCAAATCTGACTAGAACATAATCAAGAATATTCTCTTTCACAGATTCTTCGTCACTTGACATATCTGCGGTGATTAAATTAGACACGTCACTATCTGAACTTGACTCATAATTCAAAACTTGAATTTTTGTTGTAGTATTTTGATCAACTCTTCTACGTTTCCATTCTTGCTTTCGTCGTTTTTCTTCTTCTAATTGTTCTAGTCTGCCTTTTTCCGGAGTTTCTGTTAATATTTTTGTTGATCCTCTATTCTTGTATGATCTTTTCTTCTTAACAATGTTTAAGCGTCTAGGAAGTGGTTTTATCTGTTCAGGGGTTAAAACTGTAGCTGAACAGTTTTGTTTGTCACTCTCAACAAATTGCAGATTTTTATTATCGACAGCGGTCTCCGTTTCTGCTAACACAGTTCCCTGTAAGGAAGGGGCAGATGACTGCACTTCAAGGGTTTCGTTTATAGATGACAAAGAATATGAGGAAGTAAAATCGCTCTCAGCAAAACAGTCCCTATCAAATGGCAATATGCCAGCGTTTTTAAATCCTCCTAAAATATTTTTTCTCGAAAAAGCCACATCAAATGCTTTGGCAGTTAGACTAGCTATTTCATAAATTGATATTCGTCTACCAGGGTTAGAAAGAAGCCAACTGTTGAATGTTTCACGCAACTTTGATTTAAATGGTCCATAGACTGCAACATCGAGAAGCTGCAGCCTACGAGTGGTATGAGGAGGGAACGTGAGTAATACGATACCATTTTCAAGGCAGTATAATACCACATCAAGAGACACATGACTGACATGGTTGTCTAGTATTAGTAATACATAGTTTTCTTTATTGCAATGTGTATGATTCTTGACATGTTTAATAACATCCATAAAAAGAGTTGAGGTCATCCATCCCGTCTGTTGAGCTAAACCTAAACTACCAGGTGGTGCACCATTTAGAAAACAGTCTTTGTACCTCTGCCTGGGAAATATATAAACAGGGGGTAATGCATTACCATCTGCAGCAATTATCCCGCAAAATGTTACTAATTCTCCCCTTTCAGCGGAGACAGCTTGCCCAACCTGTTTAGTTCCTTTTTCTGCGACAATTTTTGGAGCCTGTAGAACGGTATTCACCCCACATTCGTCAAGATTAAGTATATTTGAGGCTTTGAACTTATATTTGTCCAACAGTTTTTCCAAATTATCGAAAAACTCTTCAACATTTTTCTTATTGAAATTTGATAGCCTAGCCATGCTAGTGTTTTCGGGCTTTCTGAGTGACAAAGTTTGATGACGAGACATAAATCCGCTCAACCATTCTATTCCTGCTAGCTCTTGGATGTCCCATGAAGAATGATACTTTTTGTTAAGCCTTTTTGCATACAAATAAGCCAATTCTCTAATCCGATACATTGTTAAACCATATTGAAGCTTGGAACAACACTGTTTTATATATTCGCACAACATATTTTCTTCGGCTTTAGAGAATATCTGTGTAGTTGTATATTTTGAATCGTAATCATAGATTCTAGTTTTAATATCATAAGATTGTTCCACAAATGATTCGGCATCCTGTTTAGAAGTCCCTGCTTCTGATGAAGCTTCATGTACAGGTTCTTCAATTACGGCTGACCCAGTAACTTCGCTGTTTCTTTGTCAACTGCTAGGTTTGTATTATTTATTTGCCTTTCCTCGCGAAATTTTTTTAGCCTAAAATTTAATGAAATTAGTAGATAATGTGGCAATTATTTAGAATATAGGTACCCATACCTTTTATGCAATAAAGACTTAGTCAGATTATGCACTCGCGCAGCTTCCCTAATTTTAAAGTTCCTGTATAGAACGTCATTCATGGCTGCTGCAATTGTCTCCTCTGATATCAAATGACGTTCTGTTTTTCTAGGATTATTCCGGGGCATTTTCTCTAAGTAGGTAGGTATTTACTCCTAAAGAAAAAGTTACTTAGATAAATTCATGATAAAAAAAATAGGTTCCTTATTTTTGGTAAAATATAA